CCCCTCCCCCCCAGCAGGATATGATCACGACCCGCGGGTCAAACACTCCTCAGACGTCCTGAACGAGAAGCACGGGGCCGCCGCAGGTGAGTGAGGGGATGATGAGAGGAAAAGTCGTGACAGTAAAGCTCACCTGCTGCTGATTCAGCTGCTCTGATGTAGCTGAATGTTAGCTGTCAGCTAAAGCACCGAGTCCAGGACTAACACAGTCCAGGACTTGTAAGGAAAAGTCAAAAACATGAGTCGTGGATCAGGAGTTCTGTAGCGGGACCGTTGAACCCTCCTGTCCGTGTTCCTCTCAGGGAAAGACGATGTCTTGGACATCGAGATCGACTCGTACATCCACTGTATCAGTGCTTTTGTGAAGCTGGCTCAGAGCGAGTACGCCCTGCTGACAGAGATCATCCCCGAGCATCATCAGAAGAAGACCTTCGACTCCCTGATTCAGGTCAGAGACACCGTCGGGTTTTCACCTCAGCTTTGGTCAGCGCTTAAAGCTTTGTACACTGAACGGGGGCGGAGCCAGAGGGGTGTCACTCCTGGCTCCTGATTCGTCCCCCAATCAGGTGGTAAAGATAATCAATGGGCCTCATGCAAGAACCGTTCACATGAACAGATTTGTTCTGAAGTTGTGCGTACGAGTGATTTAGGAGAACATTTGGCATTCACCAGTTTTCTCATACGAGCCCTTCGTACGAACAAAAGTAAGAGAAATTTTGGATAAGAATACGAACGTGTTCTTGCATGAGGCCCATTGTGTCTAAAAACAGAGTTAAAGCCTTTTAAATTTACTGAAGCTTAATGTCGACTACTGGCATTGACAGTTAGCTTAGTTGGAATTAGCAATCTGCATTTGTTTGGGATCATTCTTAGCTACCTTAAAATGGCTGAATTATAACTAAAATTACCATTAGCGGTTAGCTTAAATTGGGACTACCATTCAACATGGTTTTTCGGTTATTCTTAGCTACACCACAATAAATAAATAAATAAATAAATCAGCTCAATATGTCTTAAAATGGCTAAAATTTTAAGTTAGCTGTGGTGGCCATCTTGGATTTTTGATTAGCATTTAGAACTTAGTAAAGATCATTTTTAGCTCCTGCTAAACTAACTTTCAGGTTTGTACAAAAAATGGCAGAATTATAGCTCTGGATAAAATTACCATTAGCGGTTAGCTTAAATTGGGACTACCTTCGACTACCACGTTTTTTTTTTATTATTCTTAGTGACTTATTTTTAGCTACTATCTGAGAAAATTTCTGCTCTTAAAACAGCTGATTTATAACTAAAGTACTCTGGGGTGGCCATCTTGAATTTTAAAATCCAGAGTTATTTGTATGTGCCCCCCACCAAAAAAATCACCTCGGACACAAGTTGCATAAAAGTCTAGCTCCGCCCCTGGTACTGAGGTCAGTAAGTCTTGTTTGTCCTCAGGAGGCGCTGAACAACCTGATGCTGGAAGGAGACAACATCGTGTTCGCGGCTCGCCGAGCCATCGAGCGCCGCGACTACTCCGCCATCCTCACCATCTTCCCCATCCTGCGCCACCTGAAGATGAACAAGTCCGAGTTCGACTCCACGCTGCAGGTCCGACCGGGCCCGGTCTCGTCTGGAAGAAAACTAATCTGTTCTGTGTGCAGTAATCTGTCCGTACGTTGGTTCCCGCCCGCAGGGAACGGCGGCGAGCACCAAGAACAAGCTGCCGACGCTCATCACCTCCATGGAGACGATCGGAGCCAAAGCTCTGGAGGAGTTCGCCGACAGCATCAAGGTACGATGACCTCATCAGTCAGTCACATGTCAGTCATTATCGCTCACTGTGTTCTGCTCTCTGGCAGAACGACCCAGATAAAGAGTACAACATGCCTAAAGATGGAACCGTCCACGAGCTCACCAGCAACGTGAGTTTTTATACGTCACGAGTCAGAGGAAAGCAGTCAAGCTCCTCCTCCTCGTGATGGGCGGAGCTTCATTCGAGGCAGATGGATCGTTTGTTCAGGTCTCTCCTCTCTCTGCAGGCCATCCTGTTTCTGCAGCAGCTGCTGGACTTCCACGAGACGGCCGGGGCCATGCTGGCCTCACAAGGTACCAAAGCCACCGCTTGGTTAGCGTTCATCCAGATCCATCAGAACCGGTTTGAACAGTGATGTTTGGACTCTGTCAGCTCTGACCCGAGGACCACACAGCTCCGCCTCGTTAGCAGGGCGGAGGACAGGTGGACCAGTGAGGTCTGCAGTGAGAGTAGGGAGCAGGTGGAGGGACGAAGGTCAGGTGGTTTGGAGAGAAAGAGATGAAAAGTTTCAGCTTCTCATCGTAAACATCAGAGCTGCTCACCTGACGCCGAGCAAAAGATTTAAACTGAAATAGAGAATTTGTATCGCATTGATTTTTGCAGAAAAAAAAGATGAACAAAAGTTTGGCGATTTCTTGTAAAATAGCTTAAAAAAACGAAATTAGCAGAAAAGTAGCTAAAAAAGCTCAATCTAGCACAAAGACGCAGAAAGAGCACTTTTGCTGAATTAAGCAATAAGAAGCTGAAATTATTTAAAAAAAAATGGGAATTTAGCTGAAAAAAGCTCAAGTTAGTTGAAATAAGTTAAAAAGTAGCTTAAACTGCAGAAAATGGCTAAAAGAAGCAAAAAAGTTTAAATAAACTGAAATAAGCTAAAACTTAGCTCTGATTGCAGAAAACAAGAAAGAATCATAAAAGACTTAAAGGTGCAATATCATGTAAAATCAACTTTTTTGAGTTTTATATCATGTTATAATGTTATACTCTCATAAAAAACATGTCCAAAGCCTTGCTCTGACTCATTCATCATTGTTTGAGAAATCCAGCAGCGTTTTTAGGAAGCCATGCTGAGGAGCAAAACGACAGGTGGGGACCAGAAACACCCCTGGGACGTGTCTTTAAGCTGAACTTCCTCATGGCAGAGCACACCCCCTCCCTCCTCCCCACACACCCCGCCCATGACTCCTGCAGGCTCTCGGGTGAAACTGAAAGTGAAACTTAACTGTCTGCTGAGCTCTCAACTTTACTTCTCACTCAGTGAAGCTCTTTTCAGATTAAAAATACCTTTGAGGAAATGTTTTTTCAAATGCTAAGTAAACTGTGTCATGGCAGCCCCCCCGTCAGCACGACCCCCACCCCCCGCACCGAAATGGGCGAGACAGAAGCGGAAGGTGTTTCTTAAAGAGACAGAGGCCAATTTCAACGTGTTTAGAAGAGGAAATGATGAGAAGATAAGTTTATTTTCTATTTAAACATAAAAACAGCATTTTAATAACTAAAGGTGACATAGACACTTTATTATGGTATAGTATTTAAATATATGCCTGAGAAACAAATAATATTGTCCTTTTAAATTAGCTAAAAGAACCTAAAGCGTAGCAAAAATAGCAGGAAACAGCTGAAAGAAGCATAAAAAGATTAAATTAGCAGAAAGAAGCAAAAAAATTAACAAAAAGTGCAGTAAGACAGATGAAAAAGCAGAAAAAAGCTAAAAAAAAATGCTGAAAGAAGCTATAACTAACACGAAGAAGCAGAACCAGAAGAAAAAGTGAAATGTGTGGTGAAAGTTTAGAAACATTTTAAAGTGTTAGCTGCATTCATTTTCAATGAGAAAAAAAATCTTAAAAAAGGCTAAATATAATGTGCTCAAATACTAAAAGTTTTAGCTGGAACGTCCTGAAGGAGCTGAACGTTTTGATGAATGAGACGCTGCCAGAAAGAAATCTGCTGAAGAAACTGGACCGTCTCAGCAGAGTGATGTTTCCTCAGTCCCCACTTCCTTGAAAGCTAAGCAGAGCCCCGACACTAACAGCTCCTCAGGATCAGAGCTCTGTTTGTTTGGCTTCTTGTTGTGTTTCTGCTCCTCTCTGCTCGTGTCGCTGCTGCAGCCTCTGTGCTTCTGACCGCCTCCTCCCGCTCTAACAAACCTCTGTTAACCTGTTTGGCTCTTGTGCTTCTGTCTCTTCTTTCCTCTTCGCTTCGGCTCCGTTAGTTCTGGGGGACACTTACAATATCCCCTTAGACCCCCGAGGTAAGAGAAGCCCACGTAGGCCCGAACCTTTTCCAGTCGGCGAGGTTCGGTCTTCGTGTTGACGTGTGAAACTGCGGCGCTTTGTTTTCCAGAGACGAGCTTGGCGAGCAGCTACACGTCGGACTTCAACAAACGCCTCCTCAGCACCTACATCTGTAAGAGCGGCGCGCCCGTTCCCTGTCAGCTGCTCCCTGCTGCACACTGAGCTCGTTTCTTTCTGCCTGTTGCAGGTAAAGTTCTAGGAAACCTGCAGCTGAACCTGCTCAGTAAGTCCAAAGTTTACGAGGACTCTGCTCTGAGCGCCATCTTCCTGCACAACAACTACAACTACATCCTGAAGTCTCTGGAGAAGTCAGCGTCGCTCTCGTCTCTTCTCGACGGTCCGACTTCAGCCTCGGAGTTTCAGCATGTCTCCTGTCTGCTGCAGGTCCGAGCTGATCCAGCTGGTCACGGTGACGCAGAAGCGAGCGGAGAGTTTCTACAGAGAGCTGATCGAGCAGCAGATCGACATGTATCAGAGAAGGTAACCAATCAATCAAAACTTTATTTGTAGCGCTGCACACGCCAGGAGGTAACCAGTGCTGCACAGCAGAATAAAAACAATAAAATGACATCATGTAAGAAAAACATTCAATAAAAGCACAAGAACTGGTGTATTACATGTGATCTGTGGAGGTAAAGCCACAACAAAAAATGGAAAAGATTTAGATTCATTAATGGAAAGAGTGAAGACTTCAAAGTTTCAATTTTTTACTTCAATTAAAAAAAGCATTCATTTCATAAAAAAATAAACATATACAATAAAAAACAAAGAAAAAACACAAATCTAAATAAAATGAAAGGTAGCAGAAGAAGAATAAATATAATGT